GCATGCCCACGCACTTTCCACAATTCAGAGGCTCCGAAGGTGCAGGGATGTACAAAGCATTTGCAGGGGCATTATGAGGTTTATTGGCTTGTGGACATGGGGGTTAAATTTCGCCATCGGGTGAAAAACGCGAGCACTTGACGTAACGCCAGCCCTTGAGTGGATGCAGCTGATTTGTGTGTTGCATTTTTTTTGTAGTGGGATGTTTGTTTCCCGTGCGGAGTGCCAACTGACATGCCTGTGGCGTTCTGTATGGAGTACAGCTGTGTTGAGTTGACATCGCCTGCATTGAGCGAACCGAAGCTGATTCTTTGTACCGTACCTATGCAGGCGGAGACTGCTGGCCTGGGATTGCAAAGTAGGATGTTTGGAATTCCTTGTCATGGTGGCCCTGCAAAACCGACCCTCAGTTCTTGGATGCCAGCATCAAGACATGGCAGGCTGCAAGCAGCTCCCCAGGAAGGCATGATCTTAGTCATGCACTGTTTTGTTTAAGGTTCCGGATTTGGATTTGGAGCCTCAACATTTCAGTGCTCTACGCCTGCCTTCAAAACCTTTCAGGCATCGTGGCGGGAAAATGCAGACAAAATTGTGGGCTGGAAGTTCCCTGTGTGTAGCAATAACATAGTCACCCCATACACAGGCGTTCAGATGTGCAACGAGGGCATGTTCAACCTTAGAAGAGAAGGCCATGATCCCTTTTGCCAGCCGGGAATTCCTGACTTTCGTTTTGGTGGCCCTTTAGTTTTTGGGAGCGACCAGCCACGGCTACAAATCAGAAGCTGTTGGACCAGTGCACTTGGATGATGATTGCGAAGCTTGATGTTTCTGTTCCGAGGCCGTTTTCCGAATGGGCTTGTTGGTATATGTGGCATTTGTTGTGCAAACCAGCTACAATGATAAGATTGATAAAGCACCTTGCCTCTGCACCGCAAACATTTTCTTGTTTCTGCTTGTGTTTGAGCATCATCATCACGTTTCCGGGATGACCATGGAAGTCGGCGGTTTCCAGTGAAGCTGGGAAGCAACATACTTCAGGTGCCCTGCCTCGTTATCACGAATGTGACAAGTGAACAGTCTTCTCGTGAGTCCAGTAGCTCCTGTAGATTCATGTTCAGTTGATGCAGCTGTGTTGTTTCGAAACGTAGCATCTGGACTGGGCGCTTGCGGTGCATTCTAGGCCCCAACCACATGCCAAAGGTTTTTTGAAGTGATGCCTCCAGCATCTTTCAGGGGGTTCCCAAAATAAGTGAGGTCCTAACCATGAGATGAGCTCCTTATATGGGCCCTACTTGTTGCCTAAGCTTGACTGGATGTCCAAAGTTGAGTGAGGAAGTGCAGATGAAAAAGTAGAAGGGACCAAAGGATCCAATGCCAGTACCACATAGCGGTGAAGATATCCTGAACTTTCCATGTCAGGGGCTAACCGGCTAACCGCAAGTACACCCGAATTTTTGCAGTGGACTTTCCTAGTTCCACGCATGGGGACAAAACCCTATAAAGCCCCATATCCCCTTTTTTTGGGCATTTAGGATTCCTAACCCCAAAACCATACTTGGCTAACTCAAAAACCTGAGGTTCTTGCAGCCGACATGAATCGTAGCATCTCGGGGCCTTCACTTTCGGCAGGCCGCTCCATTTGGGCTTTTTGGTTTGGGGGTTTAGGGTTTAGGTGTTAAGGGGTTTAGGGATTAAGGGTTCAGGGTTTTGGGGGTTTAGCGATTTGGGGTGCAGCGGCTTGAAAATTTCAGCTCCTTGGCCTTGACGACCTCTCCCTTAATGATAATTCTCCCAGCCCCCTAAAATGCCTAATAGTAAATGCTTATATGGTCTTGTTTTGCGGGGACTTGGACATCAGCGAGGAGGAGGTGTTTGTGATTAGTTAGGAGGACCCCCCACCGTGTAAAAGTGGTATAGAAGGAATTTAAGAGGACCCTAAGATAATCCCTATTAACCCCCTATAGTCACTATTACTCGTACTGGGTGGGGGGTCCACCTAAGTAATTAGCTTAGAGGGAGGGGTATTTACTATCCAGAGATTGCAGCAAGGTTGTGGGGGCGGGCCCTAGGGCAGATTCTGTTGATGCAGCCAGTGCAATTAAGGAGCCTTGGGTCACTAGTTGTATGCGGATGTGATGAAAACATTTAGCGTTTTTTTTTTTTGTGGAGATCACGATATGTTTAGCACTCTAGATTTTTTTCTTGGC